TTCGTCTAGGCACTGAAGATCTGTGGGATCGCTTTTCTTCAAGAGTGCGGCCTTCAGAAGTGCATAAGGGTAACTTACTCCAGGACTAAACATATGTGCTGTAGCATGCCCGTTTAATTCCCGCGATAGTGAACGTATGACAGCAAGAAATCGAGAATGAGTATCTACGACTCCCTGTTCTCGGAAATCTGCCTTGGCATACAGAAACCGTGTTTCTGTATTGTCTGGTCAATATGGCATGAGTTGGATAGTGTTCATAGCCGGCTTAATACGAATCAGCTTGGGAGTGTGGTCGGACATAAGGAAGTGTTGTAAATGGATATATAATGGTTATCAAAATGCAAACAATATACAAGTGTAACGTGGAACAGGCTCACCAATTCAATATTTGTTATTGGTCGGGGTATGTGATCACGTCGAGCTCACCGATTCAGGAACTGTCTAGATGCGAACTTTACAGAAGCAAAGACCAATCACTAATTATTCGGACTTGTTAAATACGAACGAATACGAGACGGAGAAAGAACACAATAGCGTAGTCGGATGGAATAGTGCATTTGCGAGGTCGTGCCAAGATGCCGATGAGTCCCAACCGACTGGCTAGAGAGTCGACTACGAGCAGTGCGACGTAACACGACAGGGTGCCAAATGGCGGGGACGTTTGACCAGGTACCTTCAGCTAAGCGAGTCCAGTTAAACTATCAAGGTCAGCATCACTGTCGAAAGTCGTCGAACCCTAGGCTATTGATTTTGGGGAAGTATGTGACGCTGCACTAGTTCCATTCTGCTCTATCCTAGCATCTGTACGATTAAGCATGTTACTTCCAGCGTCACAAATCCATCAACTGTACAGTTTTCCTATCCTCTAGAGCTCTCTACCCAATTCAGTATACATATGTCGTCTTTCAACCTCGCCTGGTTAACTAGTTCACTAGTTACTAGCCGGTCCTAAGCCCGGGTAAAGAGGGAAGGTTGGGCATAGGGCTAGCAACCCTACCCCGTAAAACAAATCTAACCGCTAAAGAAACTTCAAAGCACAAGCAAAATATAAAAAATGAAAACAAACTTATTCCCAGCTGGAATCGGAGAGGCGAAATGACGCCAGTTGGTGAAAGCCTTCGGGAAGCCAATTGGCCGATGTGTCTTCTCTCGATGAAAGCGAAAGTGAACGTGGGGACATGGAATGTCCGCACGATGTTTGAACCCAGTAAGGCAGCCCAGATTGCAAACGAGATGAGAAGGTATCACATCGAAGTGCTTGGGATTTGCGAAAGGAGATGGAATGGGAGTGGACTCTCCAAACTATCAACTGGAGAATCAATAATCTACTCCGATAATGTCACCCAGACGACAACCACGAGCACACTAAGGGAGTGGCTATCATGATGTCCTCAAGAGCATCGAAGGCTCTCATGCAGTGGGAACCAATCTCCTCCAGGATCATGACAGCAAGATTCAACTCAAAAGGAAGAAAGGTCACAATCATACAATGTTATGCACCTACAAATAATGCAGAGCAAGAGAAAAAGGAGGATTTCTACAGACAACTTCAATCAACACTGGACAAGACGTCAGTTGGCGATATCAAAATTCTAATGGGTGGGGTGACATGAATGCCAAACTGGGAGGGGACAACACGGGAAGAGAACTAACCATGGGTCGAGAGGCGCTAGGTGAAATGAATGAGAATGGAGAAGTGTTTGCAGAATTCTGTCCATTCAACGATTTGGTGATTGGAGGCAGTGTGTTCAGGCACAAAGATATCCACAAAGCGACATGGATTTCACCAGATGGACACACTAAAAATCAAATCGACTTTATCTCAATCTCGAGAAAATGGAGGCGCAGTCTACTTAACACAAGGTCAAGAAGAGGAGCAGATGTAGGTTCAAACCACTATCTGGTGTAGGGAACCTTCCAAATCAAGTTAAAAGCCTTCAAGGAAGCTGGTGATAGACCTCAATTCAAGTACAACACTCGGAAACTGAAGGATGAAACTACAAAGGAGATCTTCAAGGCAGCCATCAAGACAAAATGGGAGATATCGAAGAACATCCCTGAAGAAACCTGTGTGGAAGAACACTGGAAGTCTTTGAAAGCTATGTGGAAAGAAACCTGCACAACCGTATTAGGAAGGAAGAAGAAAGAAGACAAGGAATGGATCTCGACGGATACCTGGAAGCTGATAGAGGAGAGGAGGATGGTGAAGCAGAAGATAAACCAGTGCAAGGATGCTCAACGACAAGAGGAACTGAGCACAATGTATAAAACACTGAACAAAGAAGTAAAGAAGAGTGCACGCAAAGACAAAAGACACTTCTACGAAACACTGGCAAGTGAAGCAGAACAGGCTGCAGGTAAGAGAGACCTGACGACATTGTATCAAATAACCAGGTTGCTATCACGGAAGAGATCAACACAGATGAAACCAATAAAAGATGAAGAGGGAAACTTAATTACGAAAGAAGAGAAACAGAGGAAACGATGGGCCGACCACTTCAAGCAGCTCTTGAATCGACCACCACCTGCACTCCGTCCAGAAATACCACCTGCAGCCGCTGAATTACAAGTGAACATAAATCCTCCAACGAAAATGGAAGTCCTGAACGCCATAAAGCTACTGAAATGCGGGAAAGCAGCAGGACCAGATGGGATCCCACCAGAAGCACTGAGAACAGATACAGAGACAACAGCAGACATGCTCACACCACTATTGCAGAAGGTGTGGAAGGAAGAGAAGGTACCTGGCTGGTGATTGGAAGAAGGGTTACCTTGTCAAACTGCCGAAGAAAGGAGACCTCATTGCTTGCAAGAACTGGCGCGGAATCACTCTCCTGTCCACTCCAAGTAAAATATTAAGCCGCATCATCCTGGAGAGGCTTAAAGGTGCACTGGATTCAAAACTGCGACCGGAACAGGCAGGCTTCAGGAAGTACAAATCATGTGCGGACCAAATTGCAACGCTTCGCATCATCATAGAACAGAGCATAGAATGGCAATCAGCTCTCTACCTCAACTTCATCGACTTTGAGAAGGCCTTTGACAGCGTCGGCCGAGAAGTAATTTGGAAACTGCTTCAATACTACGGAGTACCGCAAACCTTTATCAGCTTCATTCAACAACTATATGAAGATGTCACATGCCAAGTAATTCACAATGGGAAGCTCAGTGATGCTTTTGAAGTGAAGACAGGAGTGAAACAAGGTTGCCTACTATCCCCCATGATATTCCTGATTGTGGTGGACTGGATCATGCAGCAAACAGTGGGGCGCTGTGAGAAGAGGGGGATACGCTGCCTGGACTGCGGAAAAGAACCTAGAAGACTTGGATTTCGCCGATGACTTGTGCCTGATGTCACATAAACTTGAAGATCTGCAGGCAAAAACTAACAAGTTGATAGAAGAGGCAGCGAAGACGGGTCTTCAAGTGAATATAGAGAAGACAGAGGTGATGAAGATACCGCACCACCATCAACAACAACAACAAACTCCAGTCACCGTCAACGGGAGAAACTTAAAGGAAGTAACCTCCTTCACTTATCTAGGAAGCACTGCTTCAACTACAGACGGGACGGACGAGGACGTCAAAGTCAGAATCGGAAGAGCAAGACAGGCCTTCATTAGCCTGAAACCAGTGTGGAGATCTTCTGCACTCAGCATGCGGAACAAGATACGGATTTACAACACCAACGTCAAGTCAGTGCTTCTGTATGGTTCAGAGACTTGGCGCGTCACGAAAGGCATTTCCAATAAACTACAGACATTCATCAACAACTGCTTACGCTGTCTCGCTACTGAAGATCAGATGGCCAGAAAGAATAGGCAACAAGGAGCTCTGGGAACGAACCAACCAAGAACCTGTCACCCAACAAATATGCAGGAGGAAGTGGAGATGGATTGGGCATGCACTGAGAAGGCCGACTGGGGACATCACGCGTCAGGCCAGATGCTCTAGATGAACCCCGATGGGAAGTGACGAGTTGGACGTCCGAGGGTGACATGGAGGAGGTCGTGCGAGGAGGAAATGAGAGCTTGTGGGCTGTCATGGAACCAGGTTCCAAAGATCTCAGAGAACAGAGTTCACTGGAGGCGTGCTACTGAAGCCCTATGTTCCACTAGGAACACAAGGGACAAATAATAATGATAATAATAATGTCGTCTTTTGTTTTTTTGGGCTGAAAACTTTAATACTCACTCTCAGGTACGTATACACGTGGAATTCCACAACTTTCTCAGACGGCCGGGCCATAAGTTGCTAGGGAAAATGTTCAAGAAAATGGTAGCTGCATCAAACGACGTGCGCAGTAGGCTGTATCCGCTAATGGGGTACGAATGAATGAAAACACCAAGCCCGAAGTCCTAGACGGGAGGGTTAAAAAACCTATCGTATACTAATGGTTGCTCTGAATATGCATTCTCTGGAATGTGGAAGACTGAAAGGAGACTTGGTAATGATTCACAGTATCCTGAGCGCTCCTGGAAACCCAGTCCATCACTAATTGAATATAAGCTGTAGCACTTATCTTAGAGGACACACAGAAACTAAGCCTGGAACATAGCAGATAGGATATCAGGCACAACATCTATTCCCTAAGATCTTCTTAACTCTGGATGTTTCTTCCTGTAGAAGTGATCTAGTTTATTCCGTCAGAATCCTTTGAACACCGGCTTGATACTTATTTGTGAAATGAGTGGAGTCTGCTCAGAACAAACTGAATTTTCATATTTGACCGCCACTTCTTGTTTTCTCCTGACTTATAAGAGGGTAAACAACCACAGGAAGTAGTGATCCACGGATTCTAGAAGTGGAAGGCAGTTAAGCGAAAGCTTCTATACTGTCAACAGCTGTTTGAAGCATAACCATAATCACACAACTGATACTAGATACGATCTGACACTCAGCGAGCACACAGAAAAACAATCAAAGCCAAACACCCTTAAAAACTAAAATCAGCGTTCCGAATAGATGTAACCTTCAGTACTATGTACTTGTTGTTTAAGTCCCCACAAGTAAGTGAGAGGCGGCTGCTGGGAAAATGCTTTGTGACTACGAATCATCTGTGGTTAGTGTGGCTTTTCAACATGAAATTTACTCTTTTGTACTAAAAGCATTCTTCGGATGATGGGAACTTGGAAGATGTACGAAAACACACGAAAGCTGCTTCAATGCACAAGGTAAACTATATTTTTTAGTGCGGGAATCGTTATGCGAAAAACATCATTGATATTGTATGTCTGGAAAATTCGTATGGGTGATCATTTCTGAACAAACCCGATGTAGTAGGGCCTAAATAGCTAACTGAAACCTTTGGTTGGTTCTGTCCTAGATGGTTGCTGTCAAACAACCGTAACGCGTGTCACTTATGTAAGTATCGAAATCCGCTTCACTTGCTCCAGTGTTCATGTGGTTCTTAGAACTTTTAATCTTCACCGTTTGGTGTGATATCTTAAGTGGCTGGAATTGCAAACATCGGGTTGCATGTTCGGGATAATGTCTCTTAATCTTAAAACTGACACCGTGACCGTTATTTATTTCTGAGGAGTCGACTCTAGGTTTAAGTTCACTTTTGTGACTAAGTTGCAGTCCACTGCAGTTGGCAAACCTTAATGTGAATACAAATGTCGGTCTACTAGCGAAAGTAGTTATTAGCCTTTATGAACCAGCCTTTGTCGTTCACTTGGATTCTTTTTTCAACATTCAAATCGATTACCAGCAAGTTTCGAAAACGTGTTCGATACTTGTAGTATTTGCGCGTAAATTTAGCAGTGAATTACAACTTCTTTGCTTTTATAACTTCACTCATTGCTCACAGTGTATAACAGTTCCTATGCCGTTCGGACCTTCGATCTTCAGATGACTCTGGTGTCTGAATTCCGTTCTGCCAAGGCCTAATGGTGTCATAAGGACCACTGAAATTTGTGGTAAACCAAATGGTGAGTTGTTCCACTGGTGATTGCTTAATTGATTTAATATGTACCGTTCGTTCTCTACTCTTTCTATAAATTTGCACGGCAGTTTATTTTTTTCCTCAGAGTGGAACTAACAGTGCGGTAAAGCGTGGGCTTGCATCTGGATTCGAGTCCCCTAAGAGCTCCCCTACTACTATGTCCAGGTTACCTGCTTCGTATGCTATTGATGGCAAATGTCGATCGTCAAGTAGAGAGCGCAGTCCTTCCCATCGACATCGCAAGAAAAGTCATGTATCTAGGTATGTTGCTTAGATTAACCCCTATTGTCATCAAAATCATAAAAAGTTAAATGTAAACTTCCGAAAACTTTGCTCTGATTTTAACATCCTCTTACTAAGTCTGCTCGTTTCAAGAGTTCTGCAAAGTGTCAGCTGTCCACTTGATCGTATTCTAGTTACTTGGGTAGTACCATTTGTCTCGGACTGCAATATATCGCAACACTTATTTCATGGGTAACGCAAACGAGGTAAAAAAAAGTAACTCGCATTCGTTCTCATCTATATCAGTCCTGATGTTTTTTCTATAACTGATGTTTATGCGAAATATGTTACGTATCTATTATGGTTCCTGATTTTTTGTTACTGATACCTTCCCAGTTTTCCTAACCCGACTAATTAGTGGGGGCACAGACGAGTAGAACATATCCGATCAAAAGTCCATGAAAAATGAGTATATTAGGATTTGGTACTAGTTATGTTAGTACACTGCAGTAGTAGTAGTACTAGTAGTAGTTGTTGTAGTACAAAGCACATTTCGATTGGTCTGCCTTCGAACTGGTTGCTCGATCTGCTCATCAGTATTTCTAATGTTAGCCACAAAGTACTAACATTATGCAACCGAACTGAGTCTTTTTTAACATACCATTTTCTAGGGAATCTGTATTTTTCGGGATACTCCGGCAATAACCGTTTCCCTGCGTCATTTAATAACAAGGTTGACTTTTCCCTTGATCACTCAAAAACTGCTTTTTGTATACGTAGATAATAGGTTTTCGGTAAATCATGTTCGACTATGCATTATTACGGACTGTATCAGGTTTTCACCCAAAAGAATCACGTCGTCTGCATATTGCAGGGTTGACATGATTTCCCCGGGTAAAGTCAAGCTATCAAATAAGCTCCATAAGGGGATTGATGACGTCTACAGTCATCACTGATGTACACAACTCATGATGCTCTACCATAGTACCTAGCCCACTTAGATTTTCAAATATAGGGCTTTCAATAGAGTATGTTACTAACGCGCGTGTTTTTTTCAATTGTTTGTCCTACGGACGTCCCGAACAACGGTCTAGGTTAATAAATACAGGTCGCTAGGAAGTGTGGTTGTGTTCCAAGACTAATTGGAGGGTATCTGGTCAATATACTCATAGTCCGGTCTGAAACTTGCATGCTTTTCTCGAATTTGCTTTTCCTGAGCGTCACTCAGGCAAATAATCCTGCACTGGCCGACGTGAACTACTTACGGTTCCGCTGTCCTACCAAATGGCTGCAAAACAACCACTAGAGTTAGGGGATTTGGAGTATTCCGTCACTTTTTCGTAGCCTAGACTATCGTGGAACCACGATGTCAGTAACGTAGATGTAGAGTTTTAGGTCGAATACATCACTGTGTAGGATGTTTTCAACCTTCATTGACTTAGGTGGCCGGGACATACTTGGTCCTAATCTGCTCCGTCATTTAATGTTCTTTGAAGTAGTTAGGCTAGGGATAAGGTTAAAGGTCAGCAAAGTGAAACATGTTATCAGCCCATACAGTTTTTATCCACTGGTCTAAGGCATGTGATAGCTGAAATATGTGGCAAAGGCCAGGCGATGTGGCGTAAAATAGATTTCAGTGGCGCAAATGCGTCTATAGATTGTCTTATTCCTAATCGTCATATCAAATTTTCATAATTAGTTCGTTCTTGTTCTCTTTTTATGACTTCCTACCACATTGATTGCTTTTTTCCTTATTTATATTTTTAACTTTGATGTCTTTTGCCTAGGTGTGTTGATTTGAGCTGTGGCAACGTGGTTCGTCATGCATCAATGCCAGGTTCTACTCTGATCTTGACTGACACCCAAATGTTTAGTAAAAACATGTTTGCTTAACAGTGTCTAGTATCAAGCTATACAACTGTGGGGTGACCGGTGAGGATTAGGGAATTATGAAGACTTTAAGAGTTAGATTATAACTGCCGTTGTAGCACCACGAATTCGTGGTAGAATAATCATACGAGGAATGCGGATTCTTGTATGTGTAGTATTGGGTTAATTGGGTTAGTCAGATGAATTTATGAACACAGCCTAAAAAATTTGTTACATCTCATACCGACATACTCTGTTGGCCGTAATAGGTCAGTGGTTAGATAAGAGCAACAGGTGTTCAGTCCGTCAAATCTGACTACTAATCTGTGGGTGGTAGTGTTTCGTAGTCTCTTTTGAAACGACTGAAACTAGTGGCCGAAGTATTTAGGCAATTTCGCGGTCAGTAGAGTCCATATGCAATTTTGTAGGTCCTGGTACTTATCGTTTGGACATTCACCGCTGTTTTTTGCTCTTACTGATTAGTTGGATGTGAATCAAGTTTACCAGTAAGCTGTTACTGCAAAGACCCAGTCAACTGTTATCCTCTTTTTTTCATGGCAGTGTATTGGCAAGTATTCTGTAGCTTACCCATCACACAATAAGTGCGGCTCGTTGCCTGCTGCACGAATGTGCACAAGGTAACTGAGCGCGTTGCGTTCCATGCAGTTCGTTGATAAGTTATTTAGTTGGTCAAACTTTCGAAATAGTTTTCTTCACCAATAATGCTTATGAAACCTACCAGGTAATTTTTAAGGGTCGCGTGTACTGCACAGCAGTCCGGTCTGTTCTACTGTATGGCTGTGAAACATGACCATTGAAAGTGGAAGACATTAGAAAGTCTCAAGTGTTTGACCACCGTTGCCTTCGTACTATAGGCCGTATTCCGTGGTGTCAGCACGTGAGTAATGCAGAAGTCAGGTATAGAGTTTTAGGGGGCAGAGGTAAATCAGTCGGTGAGGTTATGAACCTTTATCGATTGAGATTGTTGGGACACGTACTACGTATGCCTAGTCACCAGTTGCCTCGTCACACAATGTTGGCCGAAGTAGGTGCAGGCTGAAAAAAGGCCCTAGGTGGCCAGACTAAAACACGTCACCAATGCATGAAGTCTGACTGTTGGTTTGAGCCATGTGGAGCGATGCAGACTAGGTGGTTGGGGTCCACGGGACAAGAGGAGCCAGTGGCTGGAGACTCTAGGTGATATGGCTCAGAACTGATGTTAGTGGCGCAGATGTATAAACACATTATCCTCATCTTAACACTATACCGATTCGTACCACTTTATCATTCTTTCTTTTCGTACTTTATATTTTTCTTGACTGAATTTTCTTATATTCATCTCCCATTTCACTACTTTTCTACCTGATGTACTGTTATGAGGTGTGGCAACTCAGACCGTTACGCAGTAATGCCTGGTCCTATGTTGATATTGATGATGACCAGGTAATTTAAATCATATACAACATTCGGACAGTTTATCAATCTGTTGCACGGTCATGCATTGTTAAGAACTAAGTCTAACCTAATAATTCACAAGTTTAAAGTGCGCTAGACGTATACATGATAAAATTCACACCATATATATAACCGTTTGCAACTAAAAAAAGTTTAAGATAGTGAGTATTGTGTAGTGTGCCTGCAAAGTGTGATATATCTATTTATTCTATGCTCTGTGAATTTATAATATCTCTTTCAACTTTACTTTGTGATGTTTAGGTCCGATGGTAGGAGTTCACGTAAACATCATGTGAGCTCCTCAAAACACAAGCGTTCCTCTCGTCATTCGAAGCACAAACATTCGTCTAAGAAACGTCATTACCGTGATTCCCACTGTCGAGATCGCCATCATCATTATCGTCGCAAACACCGCCGTCGTAGTTCAACGTCAACCTCCAGTTCATCCAGTGAGTCTAGTCATGAAAGCAGATCACATCGCCGGACTAGTCTTGATGACAAGAATTCGTCACAAACTCTTTCAACAAATCCTAAAGATACTCCTGTAAGTAAATCAACACTAATGTTCACCTAAAACTGCTTTTCTAACGATATGTTGAAGTAACTGCGACGGGGTAGATTTTTCGTGTTTTCACACAAATAATAGGTAAAGCAATATGTCCATGTATAATATCATGTACTGTGGTATTATTCATCGTCAGACAGACTAACTGTAGCTGAATAATAGGTGATTCAGTGTTCGACGACCTAGCTCCAGGTACTTGACAGTTTAGCAAGCTGGATGCATAGGGATAAGGTTGACTACGACAGCATTCAACCTTCTTTTCATTCGTGTTTATCAAAATCTCATTTTGAAGATATAGCCAGTTGATTTCTAATTATTAGAAACATTTACTGCAGCTTGCCTACTCTTTCTTAGCCTAACATCTGTACTCCACTTTTCATTTTAGGTTTGTCAAACAAAGACCGAAAGCTTAACTACTGTCAATACAACTCTAGTACTTTCAACAACAGTAGCAGTCACGAGCATGTCTAATCCATCTGTGATTCCCAGTCAAGGTGAGCATTTCTTGTTATGCTTATGCACCATGCTGGCCGGAAAGTAGTCATGAAACCCTGTTGACCTCCGGAACACGAATTCTGTTATTGTTCATAACTCTAAAAACAGAAAAATTACCACCCAAAAACGTAAAGTATGCAGAAAGAAAGAGGTTTTAGGATAACTTGAGATATTAATGTGGCTGTTTCCCGCATTGCACAGACGAAGATGTCAAAGTCAGAATCGGAAGAGCAAGACAGGCCTTCATTAGCCTGAAACCAGTGTGGAGATCTTCTGCACTCAGCATGCGGAACAAGATACGGATTTACAACACCAACGTCAAGTCAGTGCTTCTGTATGGTTCAGAGACTTGGCGCGTCACGAAAGGCATTTCCAATAAACTACAGACATTCATCAACAACTGCTTACGCTGTCTCGCTACTGAAGATCAGATGGCCAGAAAGAATAGGCAACAAGGAGCTCTGGGAACGAACCAACCAAGAACCTGTCACCCAACAAATATGCAGGAGGAAGTGGAGATGGATTGGGCATGCACTGAGAAGGCCGACTGGGGACATCACGCGTCAGGCCAGATGCTCTAGATGAACCCCGATGGGAAGTGACGAGTTGGACGTCCGAGGGTGACATGGAGGAGGTCGTGCGAGGAGGAAATGAGAGCTTATGGGCTGTCGTGGAGCCAGGTTGAAAAGATTTCAGAGAACAGAGTTCACTGGAGGCGTGCTACTGAAGCCCTATGTTCCACTAGGAGCCCAAGGGACTAATAATGATAATGATAATAATAATAATGTTTCTTGCATTGTTTTCGCATCATGCTATCCTCTCCATGCGAGATGAGTACACGAATTTCGACCAGTGTGGGTCTATAGCGATTTATCTTTTGGTATAACCGCTACATTCAACAGTTCAAATGTTCTACTTAGGTTTGGACTGCATACTTTACTATAAAAGACCTTTGGAAAACCAATTATCTTCTGTAAGTTGCACTATTTAACTCATGGTCCAATTTTTTCTTGCTTTAGGTCCTGTTAATCCTACTGTTCAGAGGCTTACAGCACAGGATATATTAGATAAAATTCAGAAGCATCAGCAAGAACAAGCGAAGGCCCAGGCGCTGGCTGCAGCGGCCGCTGCAAACCTACCAAAATATTACAACCCCACTACTGTTAATGCGATGAAACTGGCAGAGCAACAACAGAAGCGTAAACTGTTGTGGTCCAAGAAAGATAGTGGCAGTACAAGCACTGTAAGTTATAACTACGTGTGTTGGATTCAGGTTTTAAAATTTCACCTTTGTCTACAACATTTTGGAATATAATGTTCTAAGCTATTCAATCTCTTGATATCCCACAGGATAGTAAAACTCTGTGGACAACTACATCTCTGATTGCCGGCAAAGGTGATTCAGCTGCTGCCGCTAAATTCCGGAAGTTGATGGGTATACATGATTCTTCTGATGAAGTTGTGGATGGAAGTCAAACTCATGTTAATGAGACTGAGGCATTAAGACGTGCAGAAGCGCAGGCAGAACTCTTCAGACGGCTTGAACATGAATATGAAATGTCGCGAACTATAACTCACACTCAACGAGGTGCCGGTCTTGGTTTCAGCTCTGCAGGTCATGTCGATTATAGTGCATATTCTGCGATGCAAACTGATAAAGACAAAAATCCTAATCTCTGATTGTAATTATCTAATTTCTTGTCCGTTGTACAGCTCAATATTACTTTTCCTCAGCCTTTTTTGGAAGTCATGAACTGGCTGATATGAAGGACAGAAGGATTTCATGATTTGTAACTGGTGCCGGTGGTAGTATTTACTGCGTTTTCGTGCTGGTGTATATAAGTGCTTATTACCCTGTGGAGTGCAAAAGTGTCTGTCATGAGTGTTCGCTGACTCACCATTTTCTTAGGTCCTCATTAGGTTCTGTTGATTTTTATAAGAGTTCTCTTTTTAAATTAAGATCTTTATGACAAACCTTGTATTTCCGACCCCAAGAGACAGTTTTTTCCATGTGAAATTTCAGCAGTGTTACAGAACCATCAGTTAAGCTTGTGACTTAAGGCAACATCATACATCGAAACTTTGGCGTACCCATTCTAATTGCATGATGTCGTTAATTATGGCAGATTCATTTGCTGAAATAATTCTTGTAAACGCATAATGTACTGATAAATGCTATTACACACATGGGATGTGATTTAATGAATAAACTCTTAAATATTGACTGTTTTGCGCATAAATAAGTCTTTCTGTCACTTACATTCAGTCTCAGAAAAATCTAAAGACCAACTCCACCTGATATTTCAAACGGCCCTTCATCCATACACACAATCAACCAAACGGGGCCTAGTGGAATAATTCGATCTACGTAGCGATCGTAAATTATGTCAGGATCTCCCTACCGGCGACTGCTGCCTTGTTTGGTGATCGGTCTTGTTTGTCGCAGTGACCCAGCGAGTTACACAGCCTCAAACGCTTGTTATCTCGAAAACTTACCATGCCTAAAAGTCTTTTGGATAGTCGCAAGGCACTTCAGTAGAAGTGTAAACTGCGACACTGTGGTGCTGGTCAGAGGGCAAAGTCGCACTGCTGCCTGGATAGGATGTGACAGCAACAAGGTGTTTCCTTTGGATGACCAGGAGTGCCACACTAATGCTGTCTTTCCTACGAGAAGAGAGGGGGAATTCAGTGAACAAGAACACCTCTTCCGGCCTCACGATCTTCCTGTGCCGGTGGTATGCGTTTTCTCTATCCGGGACTACGTATTATTTGTCCCCTGGGTCCCTAGTGGCACATCGGGCCTCAGTAACACGTTGGTATTGCAGTTTGTTCTCTGCAGTTTTTTGAACCTGGCTGCACCACTGCCCAGAAGCTTTCATTTTTTCCTCACACGATCTCCTCCATGCCACCCTCGGACGCCCAACTCGTCATTTCGCCCTAGGATTCCACTTGAAGACCCCAAATGGTCCTCTCAGTGCATGCTCATTGCAATCCACCTCCACTTTCTTCTGCATACTTGTTGGGTGATAGGTTCTTGGTTAGTTCTTGCCAGAGTTCCTTGTTACTTTTTCTTTCTGGCCATCTGATCTTCAGTATCGAGTGAGTGTAGGCGGCAGCTGTTCATGTATGTCTGCAATTTGTTGGAAATGCTTTTCGCAACGCGCCAAATCTCTCAACCATCACATAAAAGCACTGATTTCGTAATGAAAATACGGATCTTGTTCGCGCCGTATGCTGAGTGCAGTGCAGTGGGTCCATCTGATGGAATTCATGTCACTTCGTGAATATCCTTGTGTTTGTACACACTGCCTCCAACCACCAGATCACTTGATTTCGTAATGAAAATACGGATCTTGTTCGCGCCGTATGCTGAGTGCAGTGCAGTGGGTCCATCTGATGGAATTCATGTCACTTCGTGAATATCCTTGTGTTTGTACACACTGCCTCCAACCACCAGATCACTTGAAGTGCAGAAGTTTGCAAAGGGTTCTCCATTCTCATTCATTTCACTGAGTGCCTCTCGACCCATGATGAGTTCTCCTCCTGCGTTATCTGCTCCCAGTTTGGCCTTCATGTAACCCATTAGAGTTTCGATGTCGCCAACTGGGGCCTTGTCTATTACTGATTGCAGCTGTCTATGGAATTCCTCTTTCTTCTCTTGATCTGCATTATTTGTAAGTGCATAGCGTAGCGCAACATTGTATAATTGTGACTTTCCTTCGTTTTGATTTGAATCTTGCTGTCATGATCTCACTGCACGAGAGCCTTCGAAGCTCTTGAGGATATCATGATAGCCACTCCAGAACTCAGTGCTAGTGGTTGTCGTCTGGGTCACAATGTCGGAGTATATTATTGACTCTCCAGTTAACAGTTTGGAGAGTCCACTTCCATTGCATATGATTTCGTAGATTCTTAGCACTTATGTGCTATATCTAATCGTTTCTTTTGCAATCTGGACAGTCGTACTAGCTTTAAACATCGTGTAGACATTGCATATCCCTATGCTTACTTTCGCTTTTATCGGGGGAAGAGAAGGCATCGGCCGATTGGCTTAGCGAAGACTTTCACCAACTGGCGTCATTTCACCTCCCCAATTCCAGGGAAGAATAATTTCTTTCTATATTTCATGGGGTTGCCAGGCTACGACCAACTTCCCTCTTTATCCGGGTTTAGGGTCAGCTAGTAAACTATGCAAGGTTCTATATGACGCTAAAATAACAAAATCTCAAACCATAAATTCTGTGATGGCTTCTAGTTGATATTCCCGGAGCTTTGGGGCCATACGGATGTTTCCTCCTTCAGATGGATTAAGATATCGCCCTCCACGGTGTGGGCAACCGCTCGCACGCTGCCAGTAATGCACAATACCCGATCAAACATGACCTTTCCTCCTCAACTCCATATCCTCCTTTTCCACCCCATACCAACATTAACCCCCTTGCACTTCTAACTCTGCGATCATTTTGAACGATCGAAACCTCACGACTGATCTCATTCTGCAGGTTTCAGTTTTGGATTCTATACCATATCGGACAGCAAGCTCTTCAAAATTCTGGGGTCTCTAACCACCGATGTATGGTTCGACTCTGAGACACGTATACAGGACCCTAGTCTAGTTATAAAATTGACCGGGATCTGGCTAGTGCGGTGAATTCATTTTGAGTATCCGGATACTCCATAGCCTGCTTTCAGGGAGATAGAATCAACGCAGATATACGCACATAGGGGCATCGGTTTAAGTTGTCTCACTTCGCGGTAACAAAAAAGTGAGTAAAAAAGAATGATGTCCACATAGACAAAATTGCGTGACACAACAAACGACGATGCAAAGCAGCTGAACGTTATGGTCTACCACCGGGAGTGTGAAAGACGGAAATTGGTAATTAGAGTAACGGAGGTACTAGGTGGTGTTTGAAAGTCAGAGGTAATGCTGTCAGACTGGTTCACTTCATTGATCATCCCAGTCTATAAGGGAGAGTTCTTGTGGCAATCGTAGGGGAATCAGCTTGACTTATGTGTCAAAGATGCTCGCGTCCAAATTTTTCTGATGCCTAAGTTGTGCTCGAGAGCAGCAAACTGAAGAAAGTCAGGCAGGTTTCAGACCTGGTCAAGGGTGCATCGACCAGATTCTTGACCATCGATGGATTCTAAAATTCAGGCATACTTACCAACGGTCGGTGCTTACGATGTTTCTTGACCGGAAAGCGGGATTCGACTTTCGACGACGAAGTGTTGTGGCAATACCTGACTTTGAAGGGAGTTCGAAACAAATATATAAAGTAAGTCAAAGTCCTACTCAAACCCATGCAGCTGCGTCAGGTCCTATAGAAAGTTTTCGTCGGAAGTGAATACAATCAGTCGTGACCGCTGACACCATTCCTGCTTAACTTCGTTATGCACATACTAATAGGCATAACCTTAGGCACGTCTAACTTTAGAGGGATTGATCTACTCCATGGAGTTCATCTGGTTGACTTGAAGCGTAGACAATATTGTCCTGCTAGGCCAAGACGCTGATGAAGCACAGAGTCATCTAGTCGCGTTGAGTAGAAATCAGTATGTGTTGCGCACCTGTCAAATGTAAGGTAATGCTACAGGACTCGTCTGCAACTACTCCCACTTTACTGGGAGTGAAGTGGTGGGATGCGTCGACAACTCAACTTGTATCAACCGGAATGAGCTGGCTGCTGACAAAGTCTCATCCCGGATACAGAAAATGTTTTGCATTCGCCAGCATGCACCATCTCGGTCACTGGCTGGCGAGATATCCTACTGTCTATCGAAAGATAAGTGTACTGCGCTCGACGGTTCTATCCCGTTATACGGCTGTAAGATATGGCCATTGGAAGTAGAGGGCATGAAGCGGTCACGGTTTTGATCACTGGTGTATTCGTAACATTTTTCGCGCTTGGTGTAGACAATGTTGAGGTCAGGTGAATGATACTAGACAAGACACACAAATTGATTGGTGAGGTTGTGAACCTTTGTCAACTGAGGCGGCTTGGCTAGGTGTTGCGCATGCTTAGCCACAGGCTAACTTGATATGGCTAGAGGGAGCTGCACTTGGTTCAGGGTAGTTAAACCAGGACAGGATCAATGCATGAATTCCCTTGCTACTGGTCTGGGGAGTGTGGGGAGAGGTATATTGCCTGGCTTGGGTCATCAAGATGATAGGAGTCAGTGGTTGAGAACTCTTGATGGCATGGCTGAAATCGGTCACGATGAGGCAATGCCTCTCTAAATGTTGACTTTTTTTGACTAAGGGTTATTACTGAATTTCTCCTCGATACAATTTCGTCTGCTTTGATATTAGTCTTTTTCTTTGTGCACTACTTTGAAATGAGTTAACTTGAACCGATGCATTTGTGTGCGGTGCTCTACGTGGGCTTACAAGCAAATGTGTAGCGTTACGTGAAGCACGGGTTCTCGCCAATGTGAATAGGACGCATATGGACGAAAAGCAGTGGGAAACAGAAAGTTGAATTTGAACATAGGTATATTGACGGGGAACACTGATATTAACATGCATCGGTAGTGTGAGGCATAGTGCCAACGTTCCTTCGGAACTTCAGTTTTTATTCACAAAATCTGTATTTTTTGTGCAGTGATTGAGTAAAAATGACATGTATCTTGGTAGTTTAGTGAATCCTGGGGTTTTTGAAGTGCAACTATCCACAGTATATTGGTTGGGAAAATTAGTCATACGTGAAACAATTAGCAAGCGAAAGAACTACCAACTGAATGGAAAAGCTGACTGATAAATTAGTTCCAAGATAGAATGAGTGCGATTAATGATGATAAAGTGATACATCTTTAAGAACATTACCCCCACTACAAGCGATAACATTTTTATTTGGCAAATCAATTCGAATAGTTAGTAGACACATGCACACTGTATTTAGTTAGGAAAATGCTAACTAGTGGATTAAACAGGAAAAGTCCATCTTCAGTTTGACGAAATAACATTCATAATAATTACAAATGGTAGTAGCTGATATATTGTTAGTGCATGGGAAGATGAATAAGTTAATCCATGACTTGTCATTTCTTGGTCACAGAATTATTTATCAGGAAGGCATAAAGCTCATCGAATGTTTGAATTTCGGATTTAGGTGATGGTTTTGTCCTCCATTTTGAGGGGAAAATATTCCGCATACGTTGATTAAAATCGACTCGGCCTGTCGGTTTCATGATGTACCATATGAGCAGAGATATTGCTCCTAGTGAAGACGTTGTGATGATTGTTGCTATGCCAAAAGCGCGAGTAACAAAGCGTATAGGAGGTTCATGTATATCTCTGTTGTGGTGGAATGCCTATCAAAAAAATGTAATACTTATTATATTACGAAGAGAGCTTAAGAAAGTTTGCGTTTTATATTGGCGAATAGACAAATTAATAGTTTGGCTCTTGGGCAGTCAGAATGATAGTACATAATTTTCATTTCGAAGTAACAACACGGTATACATATGCGAAAATTTGAAACAATTACTCCCTTAGATGAATATGTATAGTGTAATAAGAAGATGGAAGTTATCTGAGAAATGTGCGGTGTATTCGCCCAATACATTTCGAACAACCTAATCATACATTAACTCGTCAATGCATTTTATAAAAAGGATGAAAATAGGGTGGGGTAAAATAAAGAAATAAAGATAATACAAGATTTAGAAAATATGGGAATAATAAAGAGGAGTGGTACATTTTCACACCTCCCTTGGGATTACGTCACGCTACTACATAAGGGGGAATCAAACAGTATGATCTTAAGACGAAGACTTAATTCAGTTACTAAAAAGACATACTACGCAGCCAAGCTCAACATTATCGAGAAAACGGAACCTATGGTTCAGAATAAGCCTCATCACTCCATGAATGCTGACGTCACATCCCGCTGTGTACGCCAATATACATGCGTGTGCGGTGAAATGTATTGGGAGGAGTAATCGAACTATGAAGTCGGCGGTAGTGAAGCACATTCCTAAATGGTTAGAAAAACAATTACATTCAAATAATCCGACAAATATAGGGGGCAAACAGACGTCATCGTCGATATGTAAACACAGAAACAAGTCACACGACTGACCCCAAAATAGCCTTTAGACCTCTGTATAGGAGCCGTCAAGATCGTATACTTAGGTTCATTGAAGCCTTAGGTATACGAAAGTTCACCCCCTGTGTATTCAAAAAACAGTTTGTCCTTACCTTAAACCTACCTTGGTAATCTTCGTCTCATTTTAATGCCAAAGTAGGTATGAAAATGTATTATTCCTCATTATCATATTTTTCAAATCTTGTATTATCTTTATTTACTTATTCCACCCCACCCTATTATCATCCTTTTTATAAAATGCATTGACGAGTTAATGTATGATTAGGTTGTTCGAAATGTATTGGGCGAATACACCGCACATTTCTCAGATAACCTCCATCTTCTTATTACACCATGCAAATACTTGAATTTTGCGTATCTGGTTTTAGAATATCTGTAAAACTGTTGTCAATAGGCTTCGAAGAGGAGTGATCAAATTGGTACAAATACATTGCACGAAGTGGTTATATCGACTTAGGAAATTAGACTATTCTGGAACAGATTGTATGCACTACATTTTTAAGATTAGCGTTGAACTTCATGTTAAGAATTTTAGTTGCCAAGGATAGACAAAGTCAACACAACCTTGCACTCTAGTACATGCTCTCTAAGTTGCCGCACTTCATGGTACAATACAAAGAACAAGTGGATAGAAAAGACTGATATCAAAGCAGACGAAGTTATATGGCGCGGGAGGAAAATTAACATTAGAGGATGTTAAGGAATGAATACATCTGCGCCATTGTGACGAGTTTTTATCTATTTCACCAAGAATCCTCAACCATTGATTCTTTTCGTCTCGGGGACCCCAGCTATGTGGTAAATGACACCGGAAAGCATGGCCGACTTTAATTCGTAAATCTGGTAGTGAAAGGCATACACTAAAATTGCATTATAGCAAGAGTAGCTAACTGCTACGAATATTGAAACATGAAGTCAACAGTCACACCCGTTGATCCCAAGTTTAACGCTATCCGAACCATGGCATGAAATGACGACAACAGTTTGAATTATTCACATAGATAGCCATATACAGTATATGCTCAGTAAAATCAATGCAGAGTATGCGTATGTCATAAAAGAAATTCATTATTTTTTAAATCGAAAAACCATACATATCTTACTTGTGCGAGCGAGAGTGCATGAGTTTTCTTGACTGAGAGTATCTTGTACGTAAATCCTGCTGCTAAGGACAAACCAGAAAGACCTATAAACGAAGCAATAGCTTTAAGCAAGTTAACAAATAACTGTTGCATTACCTAAGTAGCTCGGCTGGTTTTCCACTCCAGTGTTTTTCTCGTTATTTGTCATAGTATAGTTTAGATCTGTAAGAATTGACAGAAGAAAAACAAGTTTCGATATCGCTGATATTAACTGATAAGCTTCGAAACTGTAATTCATAAGTATGACAATTAAAAGTGACCGATCAACACTTCGCCTAGTTCCTCGGTATTCTCATCAAATGACTCTGAGAGACTTTTATGATCATCATCTGGACGTTAAGTGGAGTAATAGTGTAGGTCTAAGCTTTTTCATGACGAGTCATGTGGAACTGATTGAGTGTTATATTACCCACCCAACAATAGCTCTTTGGAGACTTCCTTTAAAAATGGGCCTGTCCTCAACCTTAGATGGATAGAGAATCCTTATTACACAATAAGACTGTTAACACTAGAGAAGCTGACCGATTTCCCACAAGCTACTGAGCCCTATTAGCTAGCGTATTGTAAATCAGCTAGGAGAGAGAGCATATATAGAGGATACCTTAGCGTCCGACAAACGATTGATAGATATGGCTACGGAACAGCAGATAAGTAATGCAAAATGAATTGTGCCGAAATAAGGTTTATTGACGGTGATTTTGTAATACAATATAGAATAGAATGAAAAAGAAAAACTAGGGATTGTTGTTTGCATAGAAGAGATGGGAATAAAGTAGAAAAAAAATCAAGATATTAAGACGGTGATTTCCCCTCGAAGTAATCGCGTAATATAAACGTATCACAAAAGCGAACTGCGCAGAATTAATAACCTTGTGCAATCTGTAGAACAAGCTAGGCAACTTGGACTGCACTAGGCTTCTTGTGAAGTGTATTTCGTAAATTTTCAATTTCGTTTTCTTGTAGATGTACTTCAGCAGTTGTTTCAGCAAGCTTACAAAAAAGAGAAAGATACAATACTCATGCAGGAGAATATTTTGAATGATATTAGTAAGAAATCAATGATAATATAGTTCATTTTGAGGGTAACGGGGGTTTCATTACGGGCTGATATGAGTTGGAGAACTGTTGATAACCTGGAGCGCTGGACACCTCTTCCGTCTTAGTATGGGACTTCTCAGAAGTAAGCACTCACGACCCGGCTGGGGATCAAACTCAGGACCTTCGGGTTTCACAGCAAACGCGTTAACTATTTAGCCAGTGGGTCGGATTCAATGGTTCAGAGTTTCCTACTTCTGTTAATTTGCGATATAGCACAACTATCATCCAAGACCTTCAGTTGGCGTGTCTTACTTCCGACAGATCACGGCTTCTCATTGGAATTTCGGGATATCCATCGCGAAGCATGTCAGTAGTGGGGACTATGCAATAATTCTGACCCAGTGGCTAAATGGTTGACAAGTTCACCGTGAAACCTGAATGTCCTGAGTTGTGGGTGTGCACTAGAACAAAACACCTGTCCAGTGCTTCCAAGTTTTCAATGGTTCTCCAACTAATGTCAGCCCGTGATGAATAGTACCTTAAAAATAATATAATGGTAATAGAAAATCATGTATGCATACCATGTCTAAGAGAATGTCAATTTTTAGCTTCAACAAATTATTCTCTTCTATAAGTTGATGATTTTCTTTTTTGATACGGAAGGTTTCACGTCCTACTTGTGTTGCATTTCCAGACTCTTCTATAACTGCATTTTCACCTTCTACAATTAGGAAAAAATGGTCATCAGATAGCAAGAAATGAAATTCTCCAATCGCAGCATGAATGTTATTTCAGATATACGACATTTACAATAGCTAAATAACATCTCAGATATTCACAGAACAATAATTAAGCCGTGTAACACGGTGGCTAGAAGAATGTGCAACATCCAATGTTAGAAGCAGTGGGGGTTTGTTACACTGATGGTAGTTTAGCCTTCAAAGGTTTGAAGAGTTTTATTAGAATCGGTAATGTATGAAAGATGCAGTGGACGGTAACCGTCCTAACAAATACCAGTTGTGTAACCGAGACAGCTTATTTGTCTCAGTTTTTACGCACATCACTCGAAGAATTTGAAGTTTATCATGTATTGATATAGTAATTAAGAAGAGAAATCCCTTAACAAAATGTCATCTTACGTGTGAACATCTTGTAGGCTTTCTAAGAAAGAAATTTCACAGCTAAATAGAATTGTAAATCAGATGAAGTGAAACAGTATAAACTAGTCTGGTTCACATATCTCAACATTACCATCAAAATAGCAGTTGTATTCACAGATAGCTCAGAACTTAAACAAACGAATAAATTAACTAGTTTCAGTAATTCACATAACCTAATAGATTGTTGATGCCTGTACGATAGTAACCAACAGAATTTCGGCGACACAATTAAATACAATGCTGTAGGCTGAATAACTAGTGAGGATTTAACTAAACATAAGTGATCCGTTCATAGAATAAGTGCGTGATGGACAATGGATACATTCTATTAGACATAGAACTTGTAAATGAACTCATTAGTTGATGAGATTATATAACCCCCATTCACATAGTTTTCTATATAATGAAAGACAGTTTTTCCTGATAGGAAGGTGTGATTAGTTTGTGTAACGACATGTGTTTATCATGTACAGTTTGGTTAGACTTGATGAAAGCTGTCACCCATACTATCAAAAAAATTTTAACTCAGGGAAAAAGGCAAAACAATCTATTTAACTGTATAGGAAAATTATTAGGTTGATTGATCTACCTAGTTACTGGCAATTTCAAGTTATGTTGATAATCGGAGACTTAAGAATCTTACCAATAATCCATTGACCATTACGGAATACAAGATCGCGTCCACTTAGACGCGTTTTGATCGGTCCAAAATCTGTGCTGAATTCTTGACTTCTACTAGTTGAACCAAGATGCGATAAATTCGTCATGCTAGACGCTTTTCGCGCAGGAAATTTTGGTACATTAAACTTTCTTTGGAACAGAGGCATTTCCGATTAAAATGGCTGGTGAAATTTATTGGAGAAGAAAATTTATTCAGACATCGATTGTAATCAAATTAACTCGAACAGTTGAATAATCACTGAAGACATTTAACAGAAAGGTATAGGCAGTAATTACCCTAGTTTGAGTAACTAGAACCAACCAAGAACCTATCACGCAACAAATATGCAGGAAGAAGTGGAGATGGATTGACCATGCACTGAGAAGGCCGACTGAGGACATCACGCGTCAGGCCCTCGAGTGGAATCCCCATGGGAAGCGACGAGTTGGGCGTCTGAGGCGAGGGTGACATGGAGGTCGTGCGAGGAGGAAATGAGAGCTTGTGGGCTGTCGTGGGACCAGGTTCAAAAGATCTCAGAGAACAGAGGTCACTGGAGGCGTGCTACTGAAGGGGTATGTTCCACTAGGAACCCAAGGGACTAATAATAATAATAGAGTACCTAGCTAACAACTATGAGACAGCATATGAAAAAATAGTTCCCGTGTAATTGAATTTCAATGATAATGTAGTACGGGTTAGTAAGTCTTTCGTTTTGAAAATCGACAGACGACACCGCTATACCCGTCATAAAAAATAAGCCGGCGGAAGTGTTCGAATTAGTGCTTTGGTCGTAATTCTGGTCACCGGATTACTGCTTACAATGTAATCGGAATTTATTAACTACCTGTCATAGTTAACTAAGAATTACAAGCAGTTTCATATTCTCATAAGTATTCATAATTCAAACTTTATATTTTGTCGCCGTTCACGCACTTCAAACAAAGTATGCCTTCACAGTGAGTTAGGGCAAGGAAACTAACTAAAATTGAAATAATGACAATTATGTAACATGTGAGTTCGAAATTTCATCTTTTAAGCATATTTTGAGTTTTACTATACACACCTAGTAGAATGAAAGATTATAGGAATCTTCACTTCCAGGTAAGTTAGTGATGTTGCAGAAATATCGAAATTTCCAAGAATTGTAGGTGTGGGAGGAAATGCTGCTGTTTGTATCCACTTGCTATTTTGAAAATCACAAGTGTACATCCCATCAAACAGTAAGCTTTAACGTTGTTGCTTGTATTTTCCCATCGTTAATTGAACCGAACTAGTCGGTCTATATTAGAATATAGGCTCCTGCAGGGATGTCTTGATATTGCATGTCGTTGACCCCACTAGGACTCGAACCTGGAGCTGACCGCTTCAAACGCCAGAGCGTTACCCGCCAGGCCACCGGATCGCGATAGCTACTTCTTGTGCGACAAGTGTAGTTATCATGTTGTTGCATGTATATTATCCCATCATTGTCTGGACCGATCAGTTCATTGCTAACCATTATCCATAATTAGTAAACTTTAATGCTTATTAAACAAAACAGTTGTTGAACGATGTCTTTAAAAAATACAGTCTATAGATTCATGTAAAAATAATGACTGGAAATGCCAACAGACTAAACAAGTTATTATTATAGCAAGCGAATAACGATGCATCATATCCAAACATCCACAGGAAGAAAACAACTGTAAATATGCATGACTTTCATTTTTACAATAATAACTTTACAAATAAGAAGTTGGGTTAAACAAAGATGGTTTGTACTTTTTGCGATAGGTTACATACATCAAAGCGATACTACTACAATCAGTAATTAATAAGTGGATAAGAAAAAGAGATTATACTTGTGTAAATGCAGAATATAACCTCTACCGTTAGTAAAGTTTGCATCTTCAATATGAAGAGAATAATTCCACGAAAGATTTCTAAAAATGAGCTGTTTCTTGATGTAACAGACGTATTTGATCGCCAATTTGTGTGTGCAGCGTTTTTGCAAGTAAAATAGCCAGAAGCTATGTTGAAGTAAGCAAAATAAAGACGTGTTAATATCAGTAAAATGCTAAATGAATGAAAAATCTTATTTGTTTGGAGGCAATCGGCAGCCAACCCTAGACCTAGGTTTCATGCTTGTTGACACTCGTTAGCAAGGCGTGTCTGCAACCCCGAGGAAACTGATGTCTTGTGTTAGATTCGAACCTGTGTCATTCAGTGCCTCAGCTAGCGACGTTACCACTGAGCTATTCAGGCCGAGACTGACCTCCTGTAGGACTGGATTGCATATACTGTCTGGTCACTGCAGAGTAATCAATCTCATGTTGTTTAGTCTAGAATGCTGGCCGAATTCTATTGATTATTTTATAAGAGATGTAATTACTCTCGAGTGATCAGACAGTGGATGAAAAATCTTCTTCTGTGTGTGCGTGTGTGACTTGTATAAAAACTATATATCTATGTGACTATGAAAGAGTATCTGTCAATAAATGAAACGAACTGTGGTAGAATGCAGTTCCGCATTAAACTGTTTATTTGAATGTAGTCAGGGCATTGTGATAACAGCATTATTTACCGGATGACGAAGTTTCAAGCTCAATTTATTGCTCATAATCATGTCAAAGTAATCATGCAACTTCAGTAAATAATTGCGTGCTACATATGAAATAAACAGTACAATATGGAAATACTGTTGAGTTTTAATGCGAAGCCATGACATGATCTACGAGAGTGCAAATATCTTGTTTGAGCCTAGACAATTAAGAATACTCACACATACACGAAAACTAAAGAAAATGAATGAAGTATGAAAAATCAGAAGTAGCTTGTCAAAATCTAGTAAATTTCACATTTAGTTTGCTAAAATCTTGACAATTATAGTACGTAATGGCTATGAAAGCTTGTCAACTATATGGACTATAAAAACTACTATGAGACACTAGTTTATGATTGATTTAGTTCATAGACGAAAACACTCAAATTAAGGGCAAAAGTGATCAAGTGATCTTAAACAAAAGAGTGGTCGATCAGACATAAATGCAACCTTTGCAAGCTAATTGCAACAATCGAAATCTCTAGATAATAATAACAATTAGTTTTACGAAATTAGAATTATAGGCTAAATATTTGCTAATCTAATTATTGTGTATTGAAAACTATTGCACTGAGATAACAAGAGTTCCCCATCTATTCAGTTTTGAAATCTAGCACAAACGAGAAACTGCAAAGAAGGCAATACTCTTTGAACCAGCGTGAAATATCCTGAATACAGAAATACACTACTACGTTTCACCACATATTAAACAAACAATTCATCGGTTAAGATACATGAAAAAATCACATAAGTTTATTTCAGAGAATGTGTTTACGGCAAAGTTTAGTAAGGTTCAACCTTAATGCATGTGATTTTGATAATGAAAATATACACACATAGAGTGGATGCATGGATTTACAGAATGATGACAAAATTAGATGAAAATCTGGTTGATTTTTGGACAGTTAAGACTGGCAGGAACTAATATTCCTAAGCCATAGAGTTTGTTTAAAATTTCCAACAATGTTATACTGCAAAAAGCAGAAGATAGGTATGCAGGAAGGAATGCTTATCGTCAGCAAGTGGGACAGTAGTTGTTTATTATGTTTCACTTTGTACTAAAACTGTCATTTGCAAAATATGCTTCATTTCCTTTTCTGCTTCTTTCTTGATTTTCTCTTTATACGCCTGCCTTGTATCTTGCGTTTCTCTTGGAGGAATCATTACCCATTGCTGGTAATTCCCTATGATTTCTGTCACACTCAACATATACTACTTATATCCATTCTGATCAGCAACGCCCACTACACTCGTCCGCCCGTCAAAATTTCAGGCTTGCAACCGTGTTGATCGTCTTGGTGTTCATGCAAAGTTTCGTCTTTTTCGCACCACTTCCATTTTTGAAGTAGGCTGGCGTTTACTCTTTTCTCTTTATCCCCTTTTTTGATGGTATACACTGAATCGCGTCTCTCGGTAATGATGGATGGTCATTCCCACTTCGGGAGCAGTTTCCTTCTACCACATTCGCCTCCTAGCGTATATCCTCGTTCTTTACATTTCATCTGATCTCCGACCTCAAACCGTTCCATTTACTTCCTTCTCTCTGCTCAGATTTTTCAGCATCAGCTTTCTATTTCCGTTCCACATTTCTGATTGCCTGTTTCCGCTCATTTCTCAACCCAGTCATATTCCATGGCTGTTGTTGGGGTCAGGTTTTACTACTATGCATTGCGAGCCGCGGTTTCCCGCCATACAAAAACTGGAACGACGACTTCTTGGTTGTCCATTGTACCGAGGCACGATGGGCTAATAATATTAACGGCAGTTCTGTCTCCCAATTTCCTCCTTGCGAAGCCAACCACTCCTTAATACACTGCAACTAATGAGTGAATAGCAAACAAAGCCATAACACAATAAATTGAAAATAATATGAAAAAACCGTCTGAGTAGGAAAATGAATAACGGGCTATAGGGTATATAACAACCAGCTACTGCACAACATTAGGTTTTACAACTGTTTTGTGGATATTTCTCTGTGAAAGAACTTCATAAACTTTTAAATGCTCAATTACCTGCAATACAGCTACACCGCTAACTCCACAAGCAAAAGGAATTATATTAATCTCCACTACATTAATAAGGGCTTGAACACAACCACTTGTCCATACCAAACGACTGGCTGCAGTCGTAGTCAACTTTTGTACACCAAATCCACACGATGTGTTGATCACATTAATCTATTGAAAATATTTTAAGCAATTATTGAAAAAGTAAGGGAACTTTTAACCTCGACTTCGTTAGTTTCGATGTGTGGATTAGTGGAAAATTGTCAAATTTATCATTCAAAATAATTTACATAGACAAATATTGTAATGAGTAAACCTGGTCGACTCATTTACATGACAATTCCTCAAATTTGTGTAAACAATACACAATTGCGGACATGGGGATAAGAAGTATAAATGTTAAGTTTTTGCATTGTGAAATGGAATAATTTTCTAAAATAAAAAGTTTACACACAATGATAAGTCATATTTTGAGCAAAATTATTGCCCATGATCATATGAACACTTGGGATCATGTAACAATATTTATTTATAGGAATAAACTGTATGGTGTAGATTCGAAAATCTAAGCTGTGAGTAAACGACTACTACTAGTTTTATACACGTGTGGATATTTATATATCCACGTAGAGAATGTTCGCTTTTACATTTCGACATAGATCAGTTGCTGACACAGTTGTGAGGGTGGTTGACACTTCCCGGTTGCTCACACCGTGAAAGCTTATTTCTTCTTAAGGTACCTAAAAGAGATTTGTGTGACCGCAGAGCCCATCGGACATCTGCTTGAGGCCTGTCACACGCAGCCTTTTTTGTATGATTATTTTGGACTTTTGTTGTTTTGGGTTCGGGTGGTCGAAAAGAAACGACAAGTGAACCAACACCGACGGCCCGGCAGACCATGGAGTATGGTGCAGTGTATTGTTTTTGGGCCCGACCTTTTCTAACCCCCCCTTCCACTTAGAAGGCAGCATCACCATGGCACTGCTGGTCATCCAAGTGAAACAACTTACTACTGTCACACCCATCCAGCTAGCAGCAGTACGACTTCGCCCTCAGACCCTATCATAGTGTAGCAATTTACGCTATAAGGGTAACTGCTTTTCTTCTAACCACTATCCAACGGACCTTTCTGGTATGGTAGGACCTCGAGGGAACAAGCGTTCCACCAGCATAGCTCGTTGGGTCATTTTGATATGCAAACCCGACTACCGCGTCAAGGTAGCAGCTATCGGCAGGGTATATATTTCTTTTGACTGGATTTCCTTCTCTTCATCTTCCACATCACTACCTTTTTACTTGATGTACTGATATGAGCTGTGGCAACTCGCACCGTCACGCAGTAATGCCTGGTTCTATGTTGATTTGGATAATGATGATGACATAGGTCAGTTAACATCCGTGAACACGCTATTCTTGATCACAAATTTCGTGGATTGACATTATGATAATAAAAATCTGTTATGCTAATGTGATAGCATACAGTTAAAACTATTATTGAATGGCTACTACTAATGATGACTGAGAATATCAGAAGTTGAAAAGAATAGGACACTAGTTTAGTGAGTTCAGAAATCCAAAGAATGAAAACGTACATGCCTAATAAACTCGTTATATCCATGAAAAGTTTGTGCATTGTGGAATAAACCAACTTATTATTTGTAGTATTAACACATAACGCTAGAAACTGAAGAAGTTAGTGAGACGAATGTTCATGTGTCTCATATTGTTAGGCCTACTTATCAATGATGAGGAATCACGCGAAAAGATAATGACTTACTTCCACCTTTTTTGAGGTATCTAAATATATTTAGGAGACCAAAAACAGAATTCTGTGGTAGTAAGCATTTGATTTTGTCTGATTAGTTTTCTACTGTTCGCAAAGTAAGGAGAAATCATTTCAAATGTTATCATAAAAAGAAAATAGAAACACTTACGTTGATATTATTCATTTGACGACAGCAAGAATAAGGAACTCCACAAGCCTCTGGACTGACATTGGAATCATTACACGAGAAGTAGCGATTAGCTGTCCAATCCAAGTATGACTTTGGCCCACAACAATTGAGCTGTATAGTACAATGATAAAATTAAAGATGGCGATATTGGATTCAGGAGAAACGCGAACGTGTTTTTGTAACAGTGCCACTAACTACAATTAGATCTGTAGAATAACAGTTGCGGCACTGTTAAAGTTAACAAGGTATGGATCTCAAGCTATAAAAGGTTATTTCATTGACAAACAGACAGAATGAATATAGAACCTCGCACATAAGTGCATTGGTTCAAGCTGACATACTTCACAGCAATTCACAAAGAACAAGCGGATAGAAAAAGACTGATAAACACAGTAGACGAAGTTCTGTGAGAGAGTCAACAATCTGAAAATAAAGGTTAGTTGAAATGTTCAAGCTTTAGAAGATGCCAAAGAATGAATTCATCTGAGCCATTGTGACCGGTTTTAAGCCATCTCACTAACAGTCCTCAACCGCTGATTCCTTTCGTCTCGGGGATCTCAGTCAGACAGTCAACATCTCCCTACTAGGCTCAGACTGATAGTCAGACATTTCGTGCACTGGTGCCACGTCTTGGTCAGGTCACCCTGAACCCTCTTCCAACCTAATCCGACTTCACCTAGTATGCAATGTTGAGGTAGATGGTAGCTGGGAATGCGCAGTACATGTCCAAGCCATTTCAATCGACTCATGTTAACAATGTTTGCGCAGTAGACAAGTGATGAATTAACAATTTCATGAATTCAAATATTGTAGCAATGTAAATCATGCAGGTAATCTCATCTCAATTATACACTTTCCAAAGCTTTTTGTGAACAAATTGTAGGCATTCAGACATATTGAACAATTTTAACATACAGTGAAATGTAAATTACCTCTTTTTGAATGAAATCCATAAAATTTGTTGTATCTTCAAATCCCAGTTCTCGATATTGAGTAACAAAGGTAGTCCTAATTAAATCTTCTAATTTGCGTGTAGCTGAGTCCCGATATACAAAGAATAATACGCAGCATATGACTTCTGTTAGAAAAAGCAACGTTAGAATACTATAATACTGTAATGTAAAATAATTTACAAAGAAGAGAATTCCTTACAAATTTTAATAGGCAACTGTTTTCACGTAAGGAACCAACAAAACCAGCCAATGAAACAAATAGTGTTATGACACCAACAACGATGCATATTACAGTCAAGTTGAAAAGCCACTGCAACGCTGTAATGCTCGATTTCCATGGTATACCTCCAGATTCAACAATTGCAATCACACCAAACACAAAAAACACTGCTCCAATAGTCTGGAAAATAAACAACCAAAAAATAATATATAAAGCCAGTCAAATAATAATAGTAATTACTAAAATGACAAAAGTGTTGCCATGCTTTACAATAATTACAGCAAAAATCACCTATATCATCAGTTTCATTATTAAAATAATTATTATTTAATAATTCATGTGAAATGATAACAAAAAGAGATGTCAGTTGGCTGAGAAATCATGAAAGCCGGACAACAATGCGGTCAGCTAACACTTAAAATTATCTCAGTCTCACTTCGATTACAAACATTATCTAATTATGAACCTCGAATTAAATAAAGACCTAAACAAAATTGCTTTAATCCTCAAAATGTGTAGACACATGTCAGTGGTCTGAGGTAACTTGAGTGGTCGCAGTTATGAGGGCCGTTGACACTTCCATGCTGTCCAAACTTTAATAAGTCTATTTCTTCTTGAGGTACTTGAAAACAACGGTTAGTACGTGACCACAGAGTTCAAGGGAAATCTGCTTGAGGCCGGTCACATGGCTGTTTGACTTTTTGAGTTCTGAAGCGGACTATAAATCAAGGTTGCCAGCACCAGAATAATATAGGGTAGCAGAAGTGTGATGATTTTAGCGCCAACATTTCCAACACCACCCTTCCTCAAAAGGAAAGCAGCATCAGAATGGTACTGCTGTTACACTATCACCTAGCCAGCAGTACAACTTCACCCTCGGACTCCCATCATAGCGCGGCAATATACACTATAACGGTAATGCCTTTTTGTCTAACCAATGTTCTGAAGACCTTTTTGGCATAGTGGGACCTCAGGAGAACAAACGTTTCAGCGCTATAGCTTGTTGCTTCATTGTGATGCGTAAGCCCGACCACCATGTTGAGGTAGAAGGTATCGGTCTGGAAAAACATGTAGGCTACGAACAGTTAAAAGCATGCAGTTGTTGGGGATAAAACAGTATATCGGTGTTCTGAAAAAAATTATCCCGACGTGTTTATAACGACTGATTCAACTTTTGTACACCATATCCACACGATGTGTTGATCACATTAATCTATTGAAAATATTTTAAGCAATTATTGAAAAAGTAAGGGAACTTTTAACCTGGACTTCGTTAGTTTCGATGTGTGGATTAGTGGAAAATTGTCAAATTTATCATTCAAAATAATTTACATAGACAAATATTGTAATGAGTAAACCTGGTCGACTCATTTACATGACAATTCCTCAAATTTGTGTAAACAATACACAATTGCGGACAATAGCACATCCGAATAGCAAGTGATATGAGGATAAGAAGTATGCATGTTTACACATTGAAAATGAGCACATCTTTAATTACACGCTAAAAGATAAATGTAACCGGAGTGTAACTTTGTAATGAAGAAGTACAAGGAGGAGTTAAAATAATTTATCGAGAAATGTACCATTCATAATGGTAAGCTTCATATAGCTAGCAATAATTGATCCATTTGTAAATTATCTCCTGTTCTACACCTCATTCCACCCACTTCTCACGCTGCATATTCTCATCCAATAAAGTATGTTCCTTTCAATTGATTTCTTACCAACGTAGCTATATATGCATTCCTGTAAGTAGCATTCGCCACATTTATCCCCTTTTAACGCCCTGTCTCTGTCACCTCGGTGATTTTCTGATTGATGTCTCCTCTTGTATGGTTCCCAACTCCACTTGCTTCTGCGCTGGCATCCATATGTGAAGCTGACTGGGATTTACACGTTTTTCTTTACTGTTTCTGCTGACGTCATAAACTAGGCTACGCGTCTGCTCGTGAATTCATAAGGGTTACCCCATTTCATCAGTAGTTTCTTTTCCTATGATCTGTCACTTGCAGCGTATTGTTGTGTCCTCAATTTCATGTAATCTCCTATCTCAAAACGTTTCTATTTCATTCTTTGCTTCTGTTCAACTTACACTGAATCTGCTTTTTGTTTCGCTTTGACATTCGTGGTTGCTTGTCTTTGTTCCACTCTCAATCACATAAAATTTCAACACGCTAGTTGTGGTCAGGTCTTATTCTGCACCGGCAGACGAGGTTTCCTACCATATATTAGTTAGAACGGCGGTTTCTTTGTTATTCCCTGCACGGATGTCCGGTGTGGCAATAAGATTACTGGAAGTTCCGAAACCTAGTTTCCTCTTTTTGTTAGTCTGAGGTTGGTAAGGAGTCGTTCTTATTCGATAGATATTCAGTTGTCTCAGGCAAGATGTGGATTCCACTTTCGAAATATGGGCCTGACTTGTCAGTTTCGTCTAAGGTACACTGTGGTTTCCAACAGTTTTTCAAATAAAAGTCTGGGTAACCGTCTTTGCGCTTTTGTTTTCAATTGCAACGGCATCTACTACATGTGTTGCGTGTATTGGTTGCCACTGGACATTTGAGGAAACGGTCCTATCACGTCCGCTGGCCACAGGTCATCGACTGAGATGATAGCTATGTGCACTGATCACTCTTTATTAACTGGCACTTTGAGCAGGTCAGTCTAGGCTTCTCGAAATCATCCCGCAATCCCGGCCAATTTAAACTTTACCACAAGAGGTAGGTCGTCCTCTTAGCTACCAGCTGGTGGGAGTTGTGGATTAACTAATGTTGTAAGCATTACTGTTTCACATATATATATGTTCCATAGTAGTCTCAGCAAGTTGGAACACTGCAATAATTCACTCTTAGTCTATCTTTCTGTGTGAGAAGTGTTTCCAACTCCTTATTGTTTGCGATTTTCTTGGTATCTCTTAATTCCGTTATCGATAGGATTAGCCTTTTGACAGTGCATCATTTTAAGGAGGATCCTTCTCCACGGTGTCAACCCCATATACAACCCCCGCAACTAAGCTGTCTGTTTTGACCTTGACAAGTAATCCGCCACTACATTCTGCTTCCTCGGGATGTGATCAGTTGTACAATTATACTCTTGTAAGCGTAAGGGTCATCGTGGTAGTTACTTATGAGGATCTCATGCTGTCTGCAGTCACTGTGAAGGGTTATGGTCTTTTTCAATGTTAAACTGTTGTCTGAGGTGGTGTGGTTTCCATTTTTCTAATGCCCAGGCAATCACCAAGCATTCTTTCTTGGTTTTAGAATATTTCTGTTCGGTGAACGTTATTACACGAATAGAGTATTCAATAGCTACTTTGGTCTGTCTTATGGTGGCATCTATTCCATAATCACTGACATCTGTGGAAACGATAAATGGTTCCTCAGGTACTGGTAACCTACCTTAAGGTCACCCCGCTGATCATCTAAGAGTTGTTTGATTTCCAATGACATAGGGAATACCAAATAACTTTTCCATTCTATCAAAATGAAGAGTTTGAACTCGGATACAATCGAAACCAGTGGCAAACACTTCAAAGTCTTAAACTTATTCACTGCTTTGTTATATCAGGGACCTCGTTTACATAAGTACTTAACAATAATTACTTCTTTTCAGTAAGTTTTTTGATCTTATTTGGATTAGATGTTGGTACACTTACCAAAAAAATAAAGTTTGCTAAACATAACGAATACTTCACCCATTGGTTGATGTAGGATATTCTACCAGCAAGACGCCGATGGTACCTATGACCCATAGAATGTCAAGTCAAGAGATATGCTTGTCCAGATGACTGGTTAGTGGAAAAATATGGACTGTCCAATGTTGAAATCTACAAAAGAAGAGGGAACACTCTCAGCGTGAAATTTAGATGTCTACAAGGATAATAACAAGATTGGTTTACCTACCAGATTTCTGTAACACCTACAATTGTAGGCCGAGTATGAAGACCGTTGCGTTCACTCCTAAGTCACGATCATAAAGCATATATGCATGCATATTTGAATTCTCATCTTTCAGAAGTCTTTGACAAAATATTCAAGATTAAAATGGTAGCAGATCAGGCATAAGCAATTATCTGTGAGGATATATATATTGTGTGCAACCCTCTTAGGTAGTTCATTTTTGAGGTTGAAATATCCTAATAAGTGTAGCTAATGCATTTTTTGCAAAACTTCCTCTTCAAACACTTTAATAATCCTCACTTGTTTTATACAGCGTAATATACTACTAGCCTAAAGACTGTTAGTTTGCAGATTTATTCGTTTCATGAGAGCAGTAAGTATTTGAAAAACTTCACTTCTCTCTCGATGAAAACTTTCGCGTCAGGGAAAATTGAATATGTCAGTTTTACGTATACCCGGCTACTTATTTTGCTGGCCATGGTTCACTTTAAGATGACATGATAAAAAGTACGACACACATTTAGCTAATTATCTTTCATTGTCAGTGTGGTGCTTGTTTATCAAACTATGCAAACATGTCCCCAACACATATCTCAAATGAAATAGGATATAAAATGGTTATTAGATTTAGGAAAATGAGACTTCATTAGTTGCCTTTAGTAGTCAATTACTGCAGAAACTCCACTGTATGACTGAGGAACTGTTAGAAGGCTCCAGTTTTGCCGAAAACATTGTCATTGATGTGAACATTTTTTAACTCGTCATTCTCACACAATTTTTACAGTATGACTAATAGTTTATTTTCTGCCCCCACTGTAATGCAATTCGCTGATTGGTCAATCCTTACTTTTACTATGTAAACGTCTCAATTTGCGGACAAGGTCATATGTCACGTGTTTTCGAATTAATTAATTGGCTATTATTCTCGGAGGAAAAAACTCTCCCATCCAGCCTCAGTTTTCTCTGTTCATCCCGGGCTGCAGTAGGTGGCTCCTGCGTACAAAGTTAGCTGTCAGTTAGGCGTGCGTATCATATCCGTTCGAAACATATAACAGGAACACCCAGTGAAACATCGAAACAACACTGTCTTTGTGCTGAGAAACACTATTTCATGAATTCAAAAAGACTACTAATTATGTTTAGACTATGAAGCAGCTACTTAGGAGCAAATGATGTGAAATTGTCTTCTTATCAATTAATGTATCAGTATATCAACCATCTTTTTTGTGAACAAAGGCACATTTTTACCAAAACAGGAGAACGCCAGTATTTGCGGCCTAGTTTTACAGCTACACAATTTTAGTTCATTAATTTGAGACAAAAAAACCCGACAATTTTGTAATTCCAAAATATCACAGACTGTATAGAATAAAAAAGTAGCAACGATTATGAAAACCAGTAATGTGTGTCAAAGTTGTAAACCGTCAACAAGATTAAACAACGTTTATATTAAGTCACTGCACAGATATCATTCATCAATTTTAATTCCACTAAGTTTCAATGGTAACCAGTTACAGATATAGCACGCCTGCGATCCCTACCATAAGAGTCTAAAAACAAAACTGTTTTACTAACGCCTCCTTTACCTCTATACAACATCTGTGAAAAAGCAAAATAGTGAGATTTACCTGCAATGCAGAGCTGATTTAAGAATACAGCGTTGACCCGAATTTAAACCATTACCAAGAAGGCGACCATAAACAAGCCGATGTTACTACACATACAAAAATAACCCCGAATCAGAAAACATCGTACAATGAAAACATCTGCGCCATTGTAACCGATTTCGAGCCATCTCACTAACAGTCCTCAACCACTGATTCCTTTCGTCCCAACAATCCCAGCCAGACAGTCTGCATCTCCTTACTAGGTTCAGACAAACAGACAGGGACTTCATGAAATGGTGCCACTTCTTGGTCTGGTCACTCTGAGCCCTCTCCCAACCCAATCCGACCTCACCCAGTATGGCATTTCATGGTAGGCAGTGACTGCATCTCCAACAAATATCCGAGCCACGTGAGACAATAAAGGTTCATAACCTCATGCACTGACTAGCTGTCTTGCCCTGTACCTTTCATCAGACGTCAACATTGCTCACATGGTGATTCCGCAAAATGTGATCAAAACCCTGAAAACGCTTCATGCCTTCTACTTCAAACGGCCATGACTCATAGACGTATAACAGGACAGAACAAACTGTAGCACAATATACTCGTCACTCAACAAATAGTCAGATATCTCACCGGTTAGCATTAGAGGTGACGCACGTTGGCAAGTGCCAAACGGGACTTGTGTATCCGAGCTGAGATTTCGTAAGCAACCAGTCCGTTCGAGCGGATGCAACTTCCCAAGTAAGTGAAGTGGTCGACATATTCCACCACTTCACTTCCTATCATTAGAGACAAGGAGCAACTGGAAACCAGTTCTCAAGCATCATCTCACATTTGACAGATGTGAAACGCTTGCCCAAGCATGATCAGATTCCTGCTCAATGCGTTCCTGAAGACTATGCATTTTGTCAGCGACTCCACCTAGCAGGACAATATCATCTGAGTACTCCAAGTCAACCAGACGGCGATTGATCAATTTCTGTAAAGTCAGACGTTCTGAAAGGTATATGTATACTAGTAGATCTAGCGAGGTTAAGTAAGAACGGTGACAGTGAGTATCTCTGGTTGATACCACTATAGTTGTCGTCAATTCTGATGACAACTCACCATCAGCCTTTCAACGGCTGTGTGAGTTTAAGTAGAGAACTTTGATAAGCATTACATAACTGATAGCTACTTTCTTCACAGCCAGGCACTACCAAAACAACTGGTGATCAACAGAGTCAAATTTCGCCTTCTGGTCGAGAAATATGGCTAATGTCGACCACTCGTAAGTATCTATGCTCCATGACCTGTCCGAGGGTGAAAATCTGGTCGACGCACCCTCGTCCAGGTCTAAGACCTGCATGGATTTCCCGAGTTTGCTGTTCTCGAGCTCTACTTAGGCGTCGGATAATTGTGGACCCTAGGATCCTGGACACGATATCATTCAAGCTGATTCCCCGATGGTTGTTACAAGACTTCCCCCTTCTTATGGACTGGGATGATGAGGTCGAACAAACTGACGGCACTACTTCTGATTCCCATACACTACGTAGTGCCTCCGTCACTCTGATCACCAATTTTCTACCTTTATCCTTGAAAACATCCAGTGACAAGCTATCAGCTTCTGCTGCTTTGCATCGTTTCAGGTTCGATACAGCTTTCTTAAATTCAAGGAGAGTTGGAGGACCGACATTTACATCCCATTTAGGTCCATGCTGGATACTGGCCAACTGAAGTTTTGCTGTGGGCCAGTCGAACAGTGCTTAAAAGTGTTCTGCCCAAAGTTCTAGCCATCTGTCCTCCGAGGATATCAGCGTTCCATCCTTTTCGATGATGGTTTCACTAACCATCGTTTTCTTACCTAAATAGTTGCTGGGTGTTACCCGACGCTTAGGCCTTCTCCATCTCTTTTGCTTTAGCTACCTACCACTGCTCACGATCAACGTGAAGGCTGTTGATCAACCTACGTTTAAGTTGCTTTCGCTCTTCATCGTGGTCAGAGCCAGGAGGAATCAGTCCACCAGCATCAATCAGTTCGGATGACGCCGCGGAAATGCATTGACGTTTGCTAACCTTCGGGTGTTACCAACTGCCTTTACTACTGTTTCTACACCAGGCTGAATATCACCCCAAGTTTCCTCAGAATGAGCATTGTTGTCATGTTCAGACAAATTCTTAGCTAACTCTTCCCTAAATATGTATTAGGCTTCCTCATCCTTAAATCTGTCGTCTGTTTCTCGCAAGCAGTAAGGTGCAGGCGTACATGGGCTCGTACTAGTGAGTGACCAGAGACCTTGCGTGTAGTCCAGAAAGAACGGCAATCTTTCAGCAATCCTTCCTAACGATGGATTACAGCAATATGATCTCTTTGTGTCCATCGTTTGCTTGACATCGGCGGATGCCATTTGAGACAATGCCTCTCCTTGTGCTTGAAGTTAGTGCTGACCAGGAGTGAGTTGGTGGGAAATTGCAACAGGCAATCACCATTGGTGGTTCGTTGGTACGGGATTCCGTGAATACTCCCTACATACTTTTCCGTTTGACTCAGCTTCCATACTTGAGCGTCAAGGTCCCCCGTCATTATGACTACATCTAAACGTTTTGCTCTCTGTAGCAAAACTGACAGCTTCTCACAGAACCCATCATTTGCATCATTCGAACTGCAGTCGGTGAGCGCGTAGGCGGGGATTATGAATAAGCATCGATTGGTCGCACCGTCGTTCCCACTTCTTATAGATGCATTTAGTCGAACAGCACATAGCGACAGATATTGACTGGTATTCAGCACACTTTTCGCCCTACATCTCAATGTTTTGTCTACACAAGCGAGTCCATGAGAGCTAGTCACTAGGTCTCCGGGTACTCGTAAGGTGAATTTTGGAGACTCACCACTACGTCCAGGTGAGGTCAATTTAATAACCATACTCGGATCCTGTATACAGGTCTCAGAGATAGTCTACATCCATGGTTCGACATTCGAGTTCTGGTGAGCGATGCCTGCTGTCCGATTCAGCACAGAATTCGGATGTTGGAGGCTCCACCATGAAATCAATGGCAGGGTCTTAGGAAAATAGGAAGGGAGTTTCGATGACTTTGACCTTTGGCAATGATCATAGAGTGAGAGGTTGATGAAGATGTGAGAGGCTTAATATCAGTATCGGGAAGTGAAAGCAAAGGAGGAAACAGAGTTGAAAAGGATAGTTTTGTTTGGTTTCCGCTTGTGTACTACTGGAGCGTGCGAGCGGTTGACACTTTCC